GTGAAGATTACAGCTTCCTGTTCTTAAAAAAGTACAGTGGCTGTACTGTGTTGCAGTGATGATATTTTGCATGGTATGTCAAAAAATGATATAAAAATCTTTGGACACGTATCATGATATTTACATGATACGTGTCCAAAACTGGTGCACTGGTGTTCAAAATACCATTGCATCAACATGTAATTGAATTCTGTAACATTTTACTTTAAGAAGGTGTTCACTAGATGTGGCACATTTCATGAATATGAAGGAGATTTTATGCATGCCTATGTCAACTGTCAATAAAGGTGTACTCACACTAGCCTATCTGAAATGTCCCCAGGCATGTTCGACCCCCATTTTCCAGTTCAATTGACAAGTGTGAGTGCTTTAAATCAGGCCAAGGTGGGGTTCAATTGGCCGGCCATGGCCCGGTTGGAAGAGATGGTCTGGAGTGCTGTTTGGTTAGGCTTTGGTGTGGTACGCTTATAGAGTGAGTGCAAAGCACACCTGAGTGTGAAACCGAAGACACAACATCACTAATATGGGACTGTTTAATATGGATTTATTAATCATTCTTACTTTTTTATGAAGGCGAACTGTCATAGTTTATCAAAGATACAAAACCCTCGCTGCACGACAGCTTCCACCTTCAGCAAACCTCCTAATATCTGCAGCACGATTACTTTATGAACATTTATGAGCGTTAAAAGTGGTGGACCTGTTCTGCAAAAGATTTGACTGCATGCCACTGCATCCCAAATGACTAAAATAAAATAATAAGCAATCTCCACTGTATTGAGTGAGATCTTTTCTCTTCCTAACTGAACAGTCACATCATCAATGACGCAAGCGTGTTCAGGCTCGGAAGGTAAAAAAACAGCGAGTGCAGGTCGAGGGGGTATAGGGGAGGGGAGTCAATCGCACCTGAGCACGGTTCAAGACAACCATGCCTTGTGTGAGTACTCCCCCACGTGTCATTCTCTCAGTTATGTAATTTTAAATGCAAAGTTGACATTGTTAGAGATGTCTTTTTGGATACAATGTGTCTGTCGCTGTCATGACAACTTGATTATCAAGACAACTTTTCAAATGTACTTGTCATAAATCTGTCATAAACATGACTATCATGAGGTCATTATAATATCCATATATATATATATATATATATATATATATATATATATATATAATTTTTTTTTTTTTCGGTTCAAATAGACTGAACTTCTTATTTAAAGTCGTCAGCGAGTCTTCTGTCTATGACAGATTTATGACAAGTTATGCAGTCTTAGTGTCAAGTTGTCATGACTAAGACAGGTTATGATCTATTTATGTCATGTTGTTACAATATAGACATCTCAAACAATGTCACTTTTGCATTTAAAATGTATTAACTGAGCATTGTCATAATCTATTATGACATCTTTTGTTGTTAGATTAACATTAAAAACAGACAGCAGAAATGAGTTCACTTTGGGAAAATCCACAGATGCAACATACAGAGAAAGTTGCAGGCAACACCAAATATTTACATCTTAATGCATAACTGATTAAATACTGCTCAAGTCAGGCACGTTGACATAATTATTGGATATTGAGTTTTACCAATCAAAAGCAAGATTTAATTATTCTTATCGGAACTTTCATGAAGTTAAAAACAAAAAGTAATATATATTGCACTATAAAGCTCAGAAATATAATCTCAAACATAGCCTCGCATTTATTAATAGATTTCTCACACATTTTGTGCTGTAAAATACTTAAAATTTTTATTTTTGTTTCACATAAGATAGCTCAATGCTAATCTCACTGATGAAGAACTAGCCATTATGCTAGAGTAGGGTTGTTTGATCTGCTTAGAGTTTGATATCTGAATTAAAACAGTGTTATAGCTATCCAAAAAGTAGGAAGTAGGAAAAATCCTGACTTCATGCTGACTTCTAGATGTCATTTTCCAAAGGTCCCACCCAAATATCTGTAGCCTGTTCCAAACACAATCTATGAAAGTTGCCACTGTATAGGGTCTTGGGCTGCAACAATGAGGCATTTTTCACAATTTGTAGGCTGCACTGCACACATTAAACTCCCTTGAGGTGCTTTTGTGAATTCGTTTCGAGTCATTTGAGGCAAAGTATATACAGTTTTGGCAGAAGACTAAGTGACTAGCATTCTAAAGCAGGCTGTCACTTTTGATTGGGAGGAGCTGCAGTGGGAATCTAAAGTATTTGGTGGTCCGGCGGGTTCAGATTCAGCACTCTCACTGCTCTCGTTTCAGAACAACAGCAGTGACAGATAAATGAACCTGCTGTGTTACTGCTGAATATGAGAGTCCCTCAGCTAACCTTGGCTATCCAGCAGAAGCCAGCCGCATAAATAAATGAGGAGTTGTTCTGCGAGAGGACCTATTTCTGTCCTTGATGTAGCTTTACTACTTAAGAGGCTGATAAATTGGAGGATTGAGATGATGTGCTTTAATGGCAGTGCCTTCGAATAGCGGCTAATGGTTAATGGGTGTGTTTTTCTATAGGAAGATAATTGTTTATGTTTGCGATAAACATTGTATAATTATTTTTGACTCCTGTTCATTTAGATATGAATAATTTTTACAAAACCAATTACAATGGCATTCATGGTTTGAAATCCAATTCATCAGATAAAATCCAAGCAGTCAGATTGTATTTCAAATAGATTTGTTTATCACTTGAGTCTGTGACATTATATGTAAAACCTCAAGTAAAGTGATTTTTCACCCAAAAATATCAATATACTCACTATTTACTCACCCTTGAGTGGATCCAAACCTTAATGACTGTCCTTAAAAAAATAAAGTCACTGTATGCAGAGCCACAGACCTTTCTCTATAAATAAATTAAAATTATGTAAACTGTGTTCATCCTAACTGAAAGCCATGTCATGTTTGCTGGCCTCCCACATCACGCACCTGCCAGTCAATCAGTCAGCATGTTACCATAAAGGGTTAAAGGGCACCTAGGTTACCCCTTTTTTCAGATTTAATATAAGTCTTTTGCGTCTCTAGAATGTGTATATAAAGTTTCAGACCAAAAAAACCCATCAGATTTTTCATTATACCTTTTACAAGATGCTGTTTTATACTGATTTCCAGCAGGGGTTGGTTTTGTCGTACTGCGCCTTTAAGCCGAGTTCTGCCCGCCCACTGTTTCTACATGCCTCCTCCCTCAGCTGCGTCAGACAACAGACAGACTTAAAGGAAGGTCTCACGTAGCGTTTGTGAGATACTACAGTAAGAACTAACCTTTACTAATCAGTATTGTGAAGTTGCATTGATGATTCAAACACAATATCGTAACAAAGTTAACGCGTGCGCGCGCACACACGCAGGCAGGCAGGCAGGCAGGCAGGCAGACAGACAGAGTGTGCTTAGCTTAGTTTAAGCTAACCTCAAGTACTGTGTGGATTTCTGTTAAGCTAATGTACAAAATAAACCTGATTTAACTTCCACAAACCGGGATTGAAGCATCTTCTTTTAAAATTGTTCTGACACGCGGCTGTGCTGATGAAGTAAAGCTGAAGTAAATCGCTGTAATTAATTACACACATACTCTGTTTTAAAACACTTTAAACATGTGAAACTTACTCTTAATCACATTTGATGATGATTGCTGATCCTAGCGAACAGAACAGACCTTTTATTCCCGGTTGCTTTGCGTATGTCTGCCTGGTCTTGTTGACATATACACGTGACTACCGGAACATGTTAATGCGCGCAGCTGTCAATCAATTCGGTGGGCGGGGGGATCGCACACCTACGTAATGGTGCGATCGATTTGAAAACAGGTCCAATTGGCTGACCCTTTTTTTTGTAGTTAAATTGAAAAAAAAGGACTGGGGATGTTCATATCACCCCAGTATGACAGTCTATACACTATACCAACACACAGATCTGTCCAAACAGCTTGAAAAGTAGATTTTTTACCATAGGTGCCCTTTAAACAAATAATGCACAGAACTACTACGATTACAGAAAAATTTGCGCTTTTAAAATTCACTTACCTTTTAATACATTTTGGTGCAATTATAACCCACTATTAAAAACAACAACAACAACAATGGTTGAATGTTTTGGATGAAAAGCTGTAACGGTAATGTAGCCGTGGCAGGATGCATTCTGGTGTGGCACCCCGCCATGGAAGAATGAATGTAGCGGAAACCATGTAGTTCACAAGACTTGCAGTGACATATTTTTATCCCCTCACATATATTCTTTGTCAACATGGGAGTCTGTTGTTTTTGCCATTTGCTTTTTACATGTCATTTGCTTCTTTTTTGATTGTAAAACAATGGCAAGGTTCCATTGTGTTTTCATCCAAAGATGTGAATTAAATTGACGTGCAGCCTGTAATACATCCCATAAATTCCATAAAGTCACATAAAAGATTTGCTAATAAAGCACTGTTTTATTCCAATGATTCAAAGAGAACAAAATGGTCACTTCCTAATAGACTGCCGCCAAATATCAAAAAGAAAAACTGGAAAGCTATGTGAGTCTTTTTCCTGTATAACAATTTACTTGCGCCTTAGAGGACGATGCCGACACATTGTGGCTATTAAAAGTGTGAGATGCTCTTTGGCAGCGTAGACACTCAAGACTATTAATACTGAACTACTGTGAAGACAGACTTTGGCTGAGGGACTTTAGAAATACCAAAACAACATTTCAGATGATTTACAATGTGTTCGGACTGCTGGTTTGTCCATTAATGCCTTCCCATTACACCCATTTTTATCATTACATACGTTTACTCTTTAAACAAATTCATTTTTATTTCTCATACTGGATATTATTCTGTAAAAGTGTTTCTATTGTTGTTTATGCACATTTTTATCTGCACTGGTCTGCAGGGAAGAATGGTGCAATAATTCAAACGCAGACACTGTTTGAGTCAGGGTATGACTCAGGACTTTTGGATGGCCAGTTAATAATACTCCATGCGTGTGTGTGTGTGCGTGCGTGCGTGCGTGTGTGTGTGTGTTTTTTTCAGGCTCAGCTGGTGGACTTACGGTCAGAGCTGACGGATGTCCAGGCGGAGAAGGTCGTGGTGGAAAAGGAAGTTCACGAACAGCTTCTGCAACTCCATGCCATGCAGCTCAAACTCCAAGCCAAAGGAGGCCAGGCGGTCGATTCTGACTCCATCAAGGACAGGATGGTGGGCAGAGCATCATATTTCTATAAATATAGCAGAACCAAGACTTAAGTTTTATCCCTCAAATAATGTGGGAAGTTATTGTGAGTCATAACAAGTCGTTTACTGCGGATTTAATGTAATTCTGCTCACATGGATAATTGAATATTAATCAGATGACGTCATTAAACTGCTGTGCTGTCAGCCAATCGTTGGATTGCTAATCATGGTTTCGAGGATTGATAGATCTGTTCTTCACATCACACTCAGATCAGTTCATCCAGACATTTTAATCTGATTCTTGTTTAAAGAATCAAATTAGCCAGAGATCAGTTACTAAGATTAAAAGATCCAAGATCTGCCAAATCATCTCAGATCATTTAAGCGAGGTACAAAGAACGGACCCCAGGTCTTAAGTGTTATCTTGATCGATAGCTTCAGTTGTAACTTTTATTCACATATAAACATTGATCAGCAAATAATGTGCTGACAAAATGTAAATTTTTTTTAATGTAAGAGTACTTTATTTAATGTAGAACTGGACTCAATATATTGTGTGACAGTTGTTATGTAAAACTTTTGATGTTGGGTCATTGTTGTAGGGCTAAGAACAGGCCCAACGAGATCTTCAAGACCCTACGTAAACAGAATAACTTAAGGGAGCATTTCATTATTTGGGAAATTAGGCTCAATTTACAAGTCACCTAGAATTAAACCATTGAGTTGTACTATTTTTCTGTCCATTCAGCCGATCTCTGGGTCTAGCAGAAGCACTTTTAGATTTGCTTAGCATAGATAATTTGAACAAATTGGACAATTAGCATCTTGCTAAAAAAAAATAGTTTTCCTATTTAAAGCTTGACTCTTCTGTAGTTACAGTTGAAATCAGAATAATAAACCCCCTGAATTATTTGCCCCACTGTTTATGGGCCCCACTGTTTGTTTTGCAAAGAAAAACAAATAAGACTTTCTCCAGAAGAACAAATATTATCAGACCTACTGTGAACATTTTCTTGCTCTGTAAACAAAATTTGGGAAATATATTTAAAAAAAAAAAAAATCAAAGCGGGGCTAATAATTCTGACTTCAACTGTACATCATGTACTAAGAGTGACAGAAAATTTTAATTTTTTGCTTATTCCAGCGTAATGATTAAGGAACTTTGCTACTATGCCATGGCTGCAGCAGGCACAAAGATCTAAGCAGTGCTTGAAAATAGGCTCCATCTATTTTTCTATAAAACTGGAATGTTTCTATAAAACTGGAGCCTGTATTGAATGTGGAACTCTCTTCATGAGATTTAGTAAACAAATGACTATAATGTCTCCTGTAGGTTTTCAATGGAACTCTGATTCATACATTAATATTCAAACTTAGTGTTATCCTACATGCAAATACCAGAGAAGCATTTTAATTATTTACAGTTACAGCCAACAGTTCAATAAACAAAAACTAAAATGCTACAAAATAATTTTAAAAACTGGATAATAATTCAGTCATTGACATGTGTTACATGATTAACTTTTCCTAAATATGAAGTATAAACATATTTCAAATCGAACTGAAAAATAGAAGAACAGAAAGTGAAGTCTGTTAAAGTAGGGGAAGTGAATGTGCACAATTAAACATCCAGCAATGGCCTATATGCACATTGCACACTATACTGTTGGTATAAGTTTGGGGGTTTGTGGTATTCTAATTTTTTACATGTTTTTAAAAGAAGCCTCTTATCTCCAATTTGATCAAATACAATACAACAATACTATTCTGTAATATATTTATTATTCGTTTTCTATTTCGTTTTCTATTCGTTTTGTAGGCAGTGAACAGTGAGTGTTAAAGCTGCAGACAGTGCTTGTGCTCTTCACGCTTCAACACTCGGCTGTCTTGTTCTCTGACCTGCTGTTACTCTTTTTCAATTCTCCGTAGCATCACTCAAAGTACCTAAGAGCCAAAATCTGAAAAGCCAACTTGTATTCCTATAGAAATGACATGGCTGAATGCGTCAGTTTCTCTAGCTGTCAGCAAAGAGAGTGACTGGAATAGACCAGTCCACTAATTAGTACTTAACTCTTGTGTACTGTTTAAATTGACTACCCTTTTGTTATGTTGGTGGCTGTTTGTGCCCCATTGACTTCCATTATAATAACGTTTTTTATTGCAAAGCCTTGACACCATATAATCATGCATTCTTGATTGTTGGTGTTTTTTCTATTGGGAAAAGGTTAAATTTGTTAAATTTTTACTGTTGATCATCAATAAGCATCATTAACCCTTTAGATACGCCTGGGCAAATAAGTTTTTGGCTTTTACATGGAGTTCTATGGAGTAAAGCAGCAAATTATAGTGTGTATGTGCATTAATACACTTACTATGTTCTGAGAGCTGAGCTGCTTATTTTTTATTTTCTCAAATATATCAAGGTAAGTGAGCAAAGGTGTCTCTTACACACTCCACATGCACTATACTCCTTATTAAAGCCAGAAACTAAGCTTTTTTGCACTGATGATCAACAGTAAAAATGACAAATTTGACCTCTTCCCTACAGGGAAAACCAGCAACAATCAAGAATGCATTATTATATAGTGTCAAGGCTTTGCAATCAAAAAACTGTTGTCATAATGTTAGTCAATGGGGCAAAAACAGCCACCAACATAACAAACGGGTAGTCAACTTGCCTAGAGAGTATTGTTGAGTTTTTGTAAAATTCCAAAAGCATTTTCCCAAAATAAGATTTGTCACCAAAAATAATTTCTTTTGGTAAAACACAGAAAGCCTAACTAAGCCTCAAAATCACCTCAGAGTGGATGAAAACATCCTCAACAGCACACACAGACACACATTTTAGCACTTTTTTTGACACATGTAATGACAGCGTGTTTGTATGATCATCTGTAATGAACACCAACAGGCTGCAGCTGGGTCGGCACTTAGCTATGTGTCTTCCTGACTTAACCCTGCTGATGTAAGAATGAACTATGATGCTTCAGTCTTCCTGTTTAACCCTTTCTAACCTCTGACCCTCTGTTTTTCTTCTCAATCTTAAGCCTGTTCCTTCAGTGGAAGAAAAGGTAAGTTTTGCATCTTTTTGAGTCCTTTTGAGTTTCGGCTAACTCTGTTCTTTCTCTCTGTTAATGCTGCTGCTTTCTGTTTTAAACGTGTAATGTTGTGTTTGTGTATGATTAGTAGATTAACTGCTAGAGGTGCACGGTAGATTATATTGGTGGCTGATATGTTTATATGATATGCTGGTAACTTGGAAATAGGGCTGCACATTATATTATTTCTAAATTGTTTTTTTTATCAATATCGTACTTAGAAAATCTACAAAATAGGTAGTGGTACAAATAGCGGAATTCACATTTATTACTATGAATGTGTTTGTTTTAGCCAATACTTAAGGCTGGTTTATAATTTATGCGTCAAGTGATTGGCGTGACCCTCGGCACCTGCCTTGTGCGTAGCCGTGCATTTATAGTTTCTGCGCGCTGTTTGTGTTGCTCTGCGATAACATTTCCGAAACGCTAGCTGGCAATAGGTTTATGTTCCTCTGTTTCGAGTTTCTTCCTGGGTGTTTAGTCTTTTTCTGAACGCTACCTTGATGTACAAGTAGCAAAAACTCGCTAATTCGGAGGCAGAAACAGGTGGATGTGCAACAACTTTAATCATAATGTAAACATAAAACAGAAGTTTCCATCTGGAGCTCATTCACAGGATTTGACACTTGTAAACACATGCTCCATCCGGCTCACAGCTCTCAGCATCCGCTGGTCACAGAGCTTGCGCTTTGCATCGTTGCAAGGTGTTGTCATTTTTTGAGAAGTGCGCGTCGGCGTCAGCCACGGCAAGGACTATGTGACCACGCGAAGGCTGTGCCGGACCATACACGTGCGCTTGAGGCAGAAGTATAAATCAGCCTTTATAGTTACTTCAGATCATTTTTTGAAATGCAGATGTAATATCTAAACTTGTTTCCACCATAGAATATAAAAAGTCATTTGACTTTTTAAAGTGTTCAGTGTTCAGTTTTGAAAACTAATATGTTTATCAATTTCTCAGTGAATATAACTGAACAAAACTAATTTATTAAACAAATATATTTATTAAAATAATATTTTAGTCACCGAAGATCTTTAGAAATGGAAAGATTATACATTTAATTTTTTGCTAAATATTGCAAAAAAAAATCAATAAATAATATTAAAATATAATAAAATTCAAGCTACTAAATTTCACCAGTTTTATCTTTATCTTTTATTTTTTGTTTGTTATGATTTTTGCCATTAAAAAAATATATTCCCTAACATATATTTTCCTCACAATTGCTAGATGCAAACATCGAATTGGGAGTTTACAAATTTAATGATGAGAACTAGATTTTTTAAAAAGTCAAAATTGAGAGAGAAAGATCAAAATTTTATATATAAAAAAATGTTTATCACAATGATATAAACAATAGAGAAATAAGAATTATTATTGTACTACTATGATTTATTATTGATAAAGATGTTCATTGCTTACTATTAATTAATTAGCAGATTATCTGATTTGATAAATACTCTAAGCCATTTTTTTTTAAAGCAATCAGCTTTGTATGCTAATCATACTGTTTAGATGGGCTTTAAATGAAACAGTAAAGTTTTGAACACAGCAAGCTGTTAAGGTGTGGTCAGTTGCTGCTGTTGGGTGAAATTTTGCAGCCAGACATACAGTCATTTAAATAAGAATGCACACGAGTGGGTTTGCTTAAGTTCACACAAAAATGCTCAGTGTGAATGCTCATTTTGAAGGATTGCATGAGAAACGAGTAATATAAATGGCAAATTTAGTATAAAAATCAGTTTCCAAACCTTTTTTTACTCTCACTTGAGGTGATTTTGTGAAAAAGGATGAATGTCAATTAGAGCTGGGCGATATCGATAATTCGATATCGATAATTATCACAATATAAAATTTTTCGATAAAACAATAATGACAGCCAAAACATTTCACTAAATGTGTTAAATCAGCTGCACAAAGCGATTCGCATACAGAAAATCTAGTAAAATTGATAGATATAAAGATTTTACGTTTATCGTGATAATTATCGATATCGACTGATATGAAAAAAATATTGTGATAATTTTTTTTGCCATATCGCCCAGCTCTAATGTGAATAATAGGAGATGTAAACGCAATTGCCAAATGCATCCATGTGATAAATCAGCTCTCTCCATTATTCTTGCCTTGTTTACTGTTAGTTACTATGTTACCAATTCTACAATCATCAACTCTAACAAGCGCATCTAATTTGTATTTAAGAGGGTTTTTTTGCTCACTTTAAAAACGTTTACTTCACATTAGGATTGAAACGGAAAGCTGCATGGTTTTTGAAAGTGACTTCTGCTACACTATTGACCAGTGTTCTGCTTCTAGGAGACCAGCATCCTGCAGATTTAAACTTTCCAGTGACTCTGAAAACCTTGTTTACCTGGTTTGGGTGTGTTGGGTTATAATTGGAGTTAATCTCTGCAAGACACTGGACTTTAAGAAACAGTGTTGAAAATGTTACTCTGGATAATGGATTTTTATTCCTGCAAAATTTCACCCATTATGTGACTACATCTTTTATTATTGGTACAGGCTGAGCATTATCAGCTCTAAACTGCTAGACGTTTTTTTTCTCAAGTTTGTAACAAATGCAGATTTTAAACTTTCCTGATTGGCTAAATTATCTCATTTTTGGCAAACTATGATGTCGAATCTACATTTGTTACAATCCTCAGTGTATGGTATGCTCTAGGGCTGCACAATATATCATTTCAGCATCAATATCGCAATGTGCAAATCTGTAATCACAGTCAAATCGCCAGGATCTGCAATGCCAAGTTGGGATTATAATTGACCGAAACCACAGTTCAAAACAACTGATTTGGGGAGTCAGTGCAGCGTTTAACTTTAAACTAATTTTAAATCAGATTTTTATTTGCAAGTGTTATTAAGACCTGTAACTAAGATATTTAAATGTTACATTTTTAAATTTAGTTTAATTGGTTTAATGGCGAATTTAAACCATTTGGGCACAAGAAATTATAAAGTTTGCCACTTTAAGAAAGATTTACTGTTTAATTATACAGTTGAAGTCAGAATTATTAGCCCCCTGTTTATGTTTTCCCCCAATTTCTGTTTAACAAATATAACATTTTTCCTTGCTCTGTTAAACATAATTTGGGAAACAATTAAAAAAGAAAAGAAAAATAAATAACACTCAAGTGGATTCTTATTTAAATGATTGGATATTTGGCTGCAAAATTTCACCCAACAGCAGCAACTGACCACACCTTTACAGTTTGCTGTGGTCAAATCTTTAGTTTTTCATTTTATCATTTATCAAATCAGATAATTAATTGAAAAAAAAAAATTGCGAATTAATTGAAAGTAAGCAAGGAATTTCTTTAATTCATATTTAAAATAAAGGGGGGCTTCAACTGTACAATAAAGACTATGCAGGGATATTTTAGATTTGATGATTGAATTTCTGTACCTCAACACGGTTAGACTCTAAAAGACTAAAATCTATAAAGCACTGTTTAATAAAGGTTTATCTGTGTTCTATTGTTTTCATCGGTGCTTTAATTAGTTTGTTTTGTGTATAATTTATGCAGATGCACTCTCATACAAAAAACACCCCAATCAATGTAAAATATGGGTTCTATCCAAAATAGTCATCTTGTGAAAATATATTCATGAGGGAATATAGAGTTGAAGTCATAATTATTCGCTCTCCTCTGTGTTTCTTTTTCAAATGTGTCCCAAATGATGTTTAACAGAGCAAGGTATTTTTCACAGTATTTCCTATAATATTTTTTCTTCTGGAGAAAGTCTAATGCATTTTATTTTGGCTAGAATAAAAGCAGTTTTAAGTTTTTTAAAAACATTTTATGAACAATATTATTATAATTTGTCTACAGAACAAACCGCTGTTATACAATGATTTGCCTAATTACACTAACTTGCCTAATGAATCTAGTTTTAAGCCTTTAAATTGCACTTTAAGTTGAATACTAGTCACTTGAAAAATATTATGTTCTCTAGTGCTGCATAATATATTGTTTTAGCATTGATTTTGCAAGGTGTGCATTCGCAATAGTCACATTGCAAAGATACGTGCAGTCTGAATCATAGTTGACCGGGAGCCACAGAATTGTATTTAACTACTGTATTTATATGATTTAAGCAAAAAAACATTTCTAACTTAGAATTTTTGTCTTGTTTTTAGTCCAAATATCTACATGTCAAAGTGAAAACAAGATTATTTCACTTACCTCATTGGCACATTCCCTAAAACAAGCAAAAAAAAAAAACCTCTTAATTTTCAATTATTTCTTCTGAAGGTAAAAACTAAACAATTTTTTTTTATTTGGTCGAAGACTTATTCTCAATATTTGGACTAGAAACAAGACAAAAAGCAAGAAAAGCATTATTTTGCATAGTGATTATTGAATTTTTCTTCCTGAATACTGTTAAACTCCACAAAAACGTTCAAATAGAGCTATTTAAACCATCTTCTGGTCTGAAACAGTGTTCATATCTCAATATTTATTGCAGAAAAATAAAATATCGCAAAATCAGATTTTTCCATTATCTTGCAGCCCTAATGTGTTGTCATCATGGCAAAGATAAAAGAAACCAGTTATTAGAAATGAGTTATTGAAACTATAATGTTTAGAAATGTGTTTGAAAAGCATCTTCTTTCAAGTAAATAGAAATTGGGGGGAAAATATACAGGGTCTAATAATTCTGACTTCAACTGTATATTATAGAAAAACCAACTATCGCCATGTCTATTTTATTTTACCCATATCGTGCAGCCCTATATGCACACATTTTTTTGTGGTTTATTTCAGCTAGAGTGTTTGTTTGTCTGGTGATCTCACCTCACTTTTGTGAAGTTGTAGTTGTTGTGGTGAAGAAGGTCTTCGTTTCTCTTGTCCTCTTGCACTGCACATACAGAACAGCAATTTAATGACATAATGTTCAGACCCTTAACACACATCGCATTTGTTTGATACTCTATACTCACATCTTGTCTTTGTTCGATTGTTTATTACAGGAGAAGGAATTGGAGGCCAGTAAGAAGGAAAAAGTCAAGGAGGTCAAGCTGGAGGCAGAGGTTAAGATGCTAAAGAAGGAGAACGAGGCCCTCCGAAGGCACATTGCTGTGCTGCAGGCTGAGGTTTATGGAGCCAGGCTGGCAGCCAAGTACCTGGATAAGGAGCTGGCTGGACGGTAATCGACAATAGTTCATCTGTTTGGAGCATTATGTGGGCTTTGTGTGCTGATGTCTTCCATATGGGAAGCCAATGATGTTGGCCTTTTAAACCCCAAATAGGGCTGTACAATATGACGATATCTCAAGGATGATCAGAAGAAAGGGACAGCACCTGAGTCAATATATAAACAATTAATTGATAGAACTTTCAGAAATGCTACTATATAATGAACATATTATGTACCGTTATCAGGATATTAGATAAGTTCTTTTGTTATATGAGATTTTTGTCATATTGGCCAGGCCTAACCTGAATGCTTTTTGTGTTTTATTTAGGGTACAGCAGATCCAGTTGCTTGGGCGAGACATGAAAGGACCAGCTCATGATAAACTGTGGAACCAGCTTGAAGCAGAGATTCACCTGCATCGCCACAAAACAGTGATCCGAGCCTGCAGGGGGCGCAACGATCCCAAGAAACCCTTGCCATCACCTGTAGGCCATGTAAGAGCACATTTAGTTAATGCACTTTAATTTAGTGATATAAAAACAAAATATTAACTAGGTTACTTGGGGTATATGAAGCCTTTTTCCATTTTTGTGTTTCTTAGCAGCGGAATTCATCATAGTTGGGTGAACTTAGAGGGTAGTGAATAGGAGAGTACAACAAATACTTTTTAAACAAATACATTTGTATGCTCAAATAATGAAATAAAAGCAGCCAAAAGAGAGAACGTCAAATTTACTGTCCCGCCCATAGATGCTGCTTTAGAAACACCTCGCAAAAGCAGTAATTAGATTTTTTTTGGTAATTTGATGCAAAGATGATAGAATACAAAGTACAGTTTTATAAATGTACATAATTAAAACAAAATGAAAAAATAAAAACTTCCAAGCATTTAAGATGCTGTTGAACGGTAAACACTTCATAACTAAACTGAACTCTAAAAACTGGACTGAAGCAGTTTCAATTTACTAGAACTTCTATGTTAAGCTGCTTTGACACAATCTAAGCTTGTAAAAGCAGGGGTCTCAACCTTTTTCACTTATTTCTCCGATCAATTTTTTGAAGCCCCAATCTGACATTTTCTCTAAAATGTTTATATAAAATGCTCATTTAAACCTTTTATATACATATATATATATATATATATATATATATATATATATATATATATATATATATATATATATTAGGGATGTAACGGTATCAGAATTTCACGGTACGGTAATACCTCGGTATGAATGTCACGGTACGGTATTTATTGAATCATTTACAGGAAAAAACAAAACTTATGAAAATACTCCAAAAAAGTGCCAAAAGTGTCAATGACATACAAATTAGCCATCTATCTGTAAGCTTTGAAACAGGAACTTCAATTTTAATAACAAAAAAATATTAAACCATGTAAAAAAATTAATTTTCAATTTAGTAGTGTTGAAAACTCATCACATTCAACATTTAATCACTCACTCACTTAGATAGAGATGGCTTTAAAGGAAAATTATCATTTAAATATAATCTGGTAAAAGCTGGTATCTCTGGGCATTTACAATGTCCCCTGCAACAGAAAAAAACCCTCTCATTTGGGACTGAGGTTTCTGGGACAAGAGAGATATGACTTGGCCCAGGTTGACAGCAGTGGGTAACGTTGTGCATTGTCTTTCCCCCACTTGAGAGGACAAACCATGAGTGAGATACAGATCTCATGTCTGCATCAATCTGAACAGTGTGCTGTGTTTCTGCAGTCCCCATGACTGATTATTAGTTGTATTCCCCAACTTGCAGGCACGTGCACACACAGTGCTCAACCTGTGCAGTGCACATGCCCTTTTTAGTCTTGGATAGAAAGTTCCCTTCCAAAATGATCAAAAGTGCCCCCGCGACGCGACATACCCTCCGTCCCCGCTTTACAGTACGCGCACAACAACACAGCTGATAAGAACTCGCGCGACAACACCGCTATTCAGTACGCGCGCGGCGACAACACCCGCTTTAGGGTTTTCCAGCTCTTTTTGATCCCCGCTTCTAGCAGCACACTCCATTTCCGCATTACTGGATCTGTAGCGACAACAGACCGCAAGGGATTATGGCCAAGCCTGGGCTGATGGGAAATGTAGTTTCAGCTACCTCCCGTTCGCTTCATTCGCCTGAGCAAATTTTCTCAGAAGAACTATAGTTTTACCGAGTCATGCGACTACGGTAATATCGAAAAAAATTAATATTGCGGTATGACGGTATTTACAATACCGTTACATCCCTAATATTTATATATATATATATATATATATATATATATATATATATATATATATATATATATATATATAACATTTATATATATATATAACATTTATATATATTACATTTATATATATTACATTTATTATTATTTATTTATTTTCTGTAAAATACAGTAAAACCCTAAATCTGTTGAAATGCGTCAATCTGATGGCGGTTGAGTTTGCAGCTGGATATTATTTGGAGATCGCTGACAGGAACAGTGAACAGCTCCGCCAGAGCGCGTCTGAAACTCATATGCAAGTTTTTTTTACTTTCTATGGCAGAATGAAACACTATTAAGCCACTCTAGATCCTCCTGTATGGGCATGCATTCGTTATAAAACACTCACAGGACATTAATTTGGCCATTTATGCAGATATATTAAATAGAGACTTTAACTTTACACAGTTTGTGAATGAACAGACTGACGTGTACTAGTTGCAGACGCAATCATGAGGCTGTTATTGCATTGAGTTTGAAGTAATCAATCAAAGAACAGGAGAAAGTGCATTATTTTAATATAGCATATTAATAATAAAATACAAAAATTCTAGTATTCTAGAGTAAACCTTAAATTGTCATATCACTCTGCAGCCCAAGACTGGTTGCTTACTAAAGCCGTGCAGGGCTGAGCCTGGTCAGTACCTTGATGGGAGACCACTGGGGAATACTAGGTTGCTGTTGGAAGAGGTGTTAGTGAGGCCAGCAGGTGACACTCAACCTGTGGTCTGCGCGAGTCCTAATGTCCCAGTAAAAGTGAAGGGGACACTACACTGTCAGTGGGCGCCATCTTTCGGATGAGACATTAAACCGAAGTCCTGACTCTCTGTGGTCATTAAAAATCCCATGGCACTTCTCAAGAAAGAGCAGGGGTGTAACCCCGGTGTCCTGGCCAAAGTCCTGATCATGGCCTTCCAATCATCCCCGTCCACCGAATTGGCTCTCACTGTCTCTCCACTCCACCAATAGCTGGTGTTAGTGAGCGCGCTGGCGCTGTTGTCCTGTGGCAGCTGTCACATCATCCAAGTTGATGCTGCACACTGGAGTTGGTGTGGAGAGCCCCCCACAATGCAAAAAGAATTAATCAATAAACAGTCTTTGTAATTAGTTAATCTACTTATCTAAAATTTTTTAGTTAATTTTTTTAAATATTAATTTTTATTGAACAATTTAGATTTAGAACTATTAACAGCAATGAGATCCACCCAATACAAATCTGTGCTTAATTTGTAAATGAATTATTCCCTGAATAAAACCAGGAAATAAAGGTTACCGTGACTGACGTCCACCACACCATTTTAGTTTTTCCAGAACATGACGTCTTTAAACAATTTGCAATTAAAAATTGTATTATTTTGTGCCTAGGGTTGTAACGGTATGAATTTTTTACGGTATGATAATCGTCTAAAACAATACCACGGTTTGACGGTTTCGCGGTATACGGTATTAAATAGTAATTCTCATAGCAAAGACCCTGAAAAGAATAAGAACACGTTTTCTGACTGAACAAAGGTTTTATTTCAACAAACTTTTGAAAGAACCATTTTAATAGAACTATAGAAGTCTTTTATAAAAATAAACTGAAAAATCTCCCATTTTAATAAATTAAATTAGAAGGAATAAACAAGCAAGGTCTTTTAAGATTAGTCAAAAATAAACTTAAACTGTCCTTCCTTATAAGCAGGATAAATGGGAGACCAAAAGTGCAATACCAAATTTATGGCTGTAAACATGTATTTAAAGTGTTGTTTTTTTTAGTCTAGGTTGTGATGAAGAAATGTAAGCATGTTGAAATTTTCAGGACTTAATCTTGACCGCTGAGGTGAGAGAATGTGTCCACTTGTACAATGAACAAATAAAAAAATAAGAAAATAATAAATAATGTGTCAAAGTCCAAATAAACATGGTGCAAATCCTCAGTAAAAATAGATATGAATATTTACTATACTATAAATAGTTACATAACGAAACTAGATTCAATATGGAACATCCTTAGGTTTTATGTGCCAGCATGATATGGTTGTCTGTGGATATGGATTTGGATATGGTTGTCTGCAATGCAGACAAACAGCTGCACCTTCATTTGTGTCTTTTGAAAACAGCAAGAGCAGCAGTTCGTCTTTGCTGTGTCACTGTTTTGTCATGTTTCTGTGCTGCTGTGCATGCAAAAGTACTTAGTATGAGAATTATTTCATGCAAAACTTTTTTTTTTTTTGCGTTTTATTTAGCCGCGCAGAAATGTATGCCTATCTCTCATTCCGTGTTGTTCAAAAAGCTCAGTGTTGGTCCACAAACAAAAGTGAAACCTATGCTTATTGGTTGTGATATAGCGAGTTTGAACCAATCTGGGCATGGAGGAGGGACAATGCATCAATGTATCATGTCTGGTTTGTCCGGAGACACAGTGACGAGCGTTTCTTTGTCAAATCAGCGTTGTCAAATTTTGATGACATAACCGCACTGATTCCGGAGCCTCTGAAAGTCCTGTGAATGTTATGTGATACAGCACTGGAAAGCTGAGATTCTCTTCTTTATGCCAATCTTTGAATTGTATGAATCGGATCAGCGGATCAAAAGTTATTAAACATTTAAGAGCAATACTTATTTTTAGCCGCGGGCGGCTGTCTCGGTCTTTAAGGGTTAAAACCGTTGATATGCAATTGTTCATGGTATGATAATCGTGCGCGTTCAAATCGTGGTAGACCGTCATACCGGTATATTGTTACAACCCTATTTGTGCCATATAACGTTATAGCTCTGTCATAGATAATAAAAAATGTAGCTACAAACATAAATCGTATGAACAATCACTAGTCAGCTCACTTCACTATTATGTGCCAAGTGAAAATCAAATAATTAAATGACTCACTCAGTCTAATCTTCAAGAAGAGCCCAGTTTCCTCTCTGTCATATTTTCTGGCTGATATGCCTCCTGCTATCCTGATACTGGGAGGCAGTTTCATCTTCTCAAGATCTCGTTTGATCAGGCTCATTATCAGATGTACTCGTGGTTTTAAATAATGAAAATATGCTTAACTGCCTCATTTTTTTGCTATTATTTATTTTTGCTGCTTACTGCGTGTAAAACAATTATCAATCAATGAGATTGTAACCGTAAGAAAGTTGATTGGCTGAACATGCGCATGGTGACTACCGTCGTGTGTGTGTGCGTGCGTGTGTGTGTCTGTCTGTCTGTCTGTTTGTTTGTGTGTGTGTGTGTGTGTGTGTGTGCACAATCCACGCAGCCTTTGCTTGCACTTATTCACAGTCTCTCTCTCTCTCACACACACACACACATACACAAACACTGGAACGGGCAAGATCCGGCTCAAATGAAGCACTGGTTATAATAAAACAATGAAAGTGAGTGGTAATTTATTAGAAAATCAGTATTGAAACTGTTCTTTCTTGGGTTTTAATGTGATTTATGGCCATTAAAAAATTTACAAAAGAGGGCAAGTGTCAAATGTCCAATATTTCAAAAAACAAAACAAAAACTAAAAATCTGCACATGACTACACAGGGCTGATATCACCTCAAAAAACTTAGATTATTAATGCATGTGATTTACCCTCAAGTATGCCCTCTGTTTATTTACAGGACACAGATTCTCTGAAAAAGACTCAAGGAGTGGGCCCTATACGCAAAGTGGTTCTGACCAAAGAAGATCATGAAGGACTTGGCATCTCCATTACTGTGAGTTCAGCTTCTGACTTATTATGCAGTATAATCTCACCTTTTTCTTTGAATGATAGTAAAGCACTCTTCATTTTGGTCACCCATAAATGAATAAATCGCTGTATGTCTGAAGATCAGGGTACTGATTTAATGTTCGCCTACCTGTAATGAATACAGGGCGGTAAAGAGCACGGCGTTCCCATCCTCATCTCCGAAATCCACCCTACCCAGCCTGCAGAGCGCTGCGGAGGACTGCATGTGGGAGATGCCATATTAGCCGTCAACAACATCAACCTGAGAGATGCGAAGCACAAAGAGGCCGTCACCATCCTCTCACAGCAGGTAAGACATGCACGCGCTCGCTTTCGCTTCAGCTCGAGCTCAGCATGGGGGCTGTCAGATCACTTAGCGGGTGACCAATAACTCATTATTGGAAGCACATTTCAAATAATCACTCCTGCAGAGAAGCCACAAAGGTTAAGATGCTCTCTAATTGGGCTTGTGAGGTGTAATTATGGATTATTTCAACTTAGGCGATAACCATGGGACGATAACCAGTTTTACTGTGGTTTGGAAAAGTCAAGGTTTTAAAACCGCTAAATTTTTGTGTTATATCTTTCCTATGATATATGTATGTTTCTTTTTTTTATACAAGTTTTTAGGGCAAAAGTATCTCCAGCAGAAAATGAGCCCCCTATCAAAAGCTACTGGTCGGCGCACAATTCAGGAAACATTTGAAAGCCAAATTACTTATGCACCAACACCCAAGCCTTGCTAAATAGTGCATCCGGAAAGTATTTATAGCGCTTCACTTTTTCCAAAATGGATCAAATTCATTTATTTGCTCAAAATTCTGCACACAATACCCTATAATGACAGTGTGAAACCATTTTTTAAATTGTTGCAAATTCATAAAAACCCCCCCCTGAAAAATCAGATGTACATAAGTATTCACAGCCTTTGCCGTGAAGCTCTAAATTGAGCTCAGGTACATTCTGTTTCCACTGATCATTCTTGAGATGCTTCAGCAGCTTAATTGGAGTTCACCTGTGGTAGATTCAGTTCATTGGACATTATTGTCTCGAGGCACAAGGCTGAGGAAGGTCACAGAAAAATTTCTGCTGCTCCGAAAGTTCCAATGAGCACAGTGGCCTCCATCATCCGTAAGAGGAAGATGTTTGAAACCACCAGCACTCTTCCTAGAGCTGGCTGGCCATCTAAACTGAGTGATTGGGGGAGAAGAGACTTAGTCAGGGAGGTAATCAATGTGAGTGATGGTCACTCTGTCTGAGCTCCAGCATTCTTGAGAGAGAGGAGAACCTTACAGAAGACAACCATCTGTGCAGCAATCCACCAATCAGATCAATGCAGATAATTGGAGGTTTTGTCTCCAACAGGAAGAAACGATTATGTACTACAGAAATGACACGTCAGTAAATCCAATCATAAATCTTATACAAACCTATGTAGGATTGCAACAAATATTTCAGGAGTGCAGTAGAATGTAATAGAGCAATGGAGTGAAAGGCTGGATCATAATTCAACTGGATAATTCACTCGTCTGGCATTATGGGATAGCGCAATGTCCTTTGGATGCGCACTACAGAATCTTGCCAGAAGTAGTAGGATATGCGGATACTTCTCGCTAGGGCTGTCATAATATCTATTTTTTGCTTGGTGATTTATTGCACTTAAATTAATTTCGATAAACGATATTTTTGCTACTTTTATCACTCTTAAAAAAATAATACATTTTTGCAACATAACAGTGTAATAATTCAGGTACGCTTTTTTATTTTTAAGAATATTCAGTCATTAGAAATTGGAACATGGCAATGTGGTGGCGCAATGGGTAGCACGATCGCCTCAAAGCAAGAAGGTCACTGGTTTGAGCCTCAGCTGGGTCAGTTGGCATTTCTTTGTGGAGTTTGCATGTTCTCCCCGTGTTGGCGTGTCTTTCCTCCGGGTGTTCCTGTCTCCCCCACAAGTCCAAAGACATGTGGTATAGGTGAATTGGGTGAGCTAAATTGTTTGTAGTGTATGTGTGTGAATGAGTGTGTGTGGAAAAACACAAAGCCAAAATGAAAATAATTAAATGAATAATTGAAATTGGAACATGAAAAAATATCATAGATATGCTACATAAGCCCCGCCTTCCACAGAAAGCAGAATGTAGCACATTTGACAAAAATCTTAGCTTGTCATATTGTGTAGCCTAATCATCATCATCTTGAATGTCTATATATAATAGACAATATATCACACCTCCAAAATTAACTGCCCTCATTATCCTTATCCCACGTCTATAAGTCAATATATTGACTATTGCAGCCAGAGAGTTGACTCTGATGGAACGTTTTTTTTAACAGCAATGGTGGCCCGAAGAGGCTTCTAACAGTTGTCGGAAGTTAGCCTTTAGAGCCGAGCTACACCTGAAGACGGCTGGTTTTACACTTTTGAAAGGTGTCAAATTTTTAAAATAAGATTTGTATGTTTTAGCGTCACATGACAATCAAACATTTTTGACTTGCGTTGTCTCTCTATGGCTCTGAGATTTAATAAAGTCCACAACTCCCATGATTCCACACTCAAGTCACGCTTTCATCAAACTATCTCATCAAATCATCATAGAAAAAAGTGGATCAAATCAATCATTCGGTTAATTCCAAATTTAAGTCATATGATTACTGTGTGAACAACCAAAGGTTATATTTACCTGAAATAATAAAAAGAATTGATTTGCATACATACACTGACACTTCGAGAAACTAACGCAGTTGTGTTTTTCTCTCTTCAGAGGGGAGAAATTGAGTTTGAGGTGGTTTATGTGGCTCCAGAAGTGGACTCAGATGATGAGAATGTGGAGTATGAAGACGACAGCGGGCACCGCTACCGTCTGTACCTGGACGAGCTGGAAGAGGCATCAGCAGCCAATCACAACAATGGCACTGCTGACCCCGCCTCCCTACAAGGCAAGTACACTGAATTGAAGGGGTAGTTCGTCCAAAAAAATTACATTTATATCATCATTTACTCACCCTTGACATGTTTGTCTTTATTTTTTTTTTATGAACACAAAAGAAGATATTTTAAGATAAACATGTAACCATTGACCTCCATACTATTTGTATTTCCTACTATGGAAGTCACAGGTTTTTAGCTTTCTACAAAATATCTTCTTTTGTGTTCAACAGAATAAAGAAAAAGTGGTTTGGAACAACTTGAGGGAAAGTAAATAGTGAGTACAGAGTAAATCCACGCAAGCTGTTAACCACCAAAATGAACAGCTTAGTAAATAGCCCTTTTACCGTCAGTCTAAGAAATAGACATTTTTATTTTATTTGACCAATTTCTTTGCTTGAATTGCGTTCCTGACACCACACTGAACAACATTTGCTTTTCTTTTAGCTTATAGCTCAACCAATCAATGGCTTCCAAGAACACAGAGAATGGACTCGCATTCTTATGGAGAGTGGTCTTGTCAAGTTACCTCGGTCTAGCACAGGACGTATCCTCTGAGAAATGAGATGTTGCGTTCTTCCAGATGGTCACATGACCTTCACGAATTTTATCTAAATTATTTCACGAAAATTATTTAAACATTACAGCATTCTTTTTTTTTTAATATTTATTTTGCCTTTATTTGACAGGACAGTATGTTGACAGAAAGTGAAGTGAGAGAGAGAGAGAGAGAGAGATGGATGGATGGATGGATGGATGGATGGATGGATGGACAGACGGACGGATGGATAGATGGATAGATTAAAGCAGTTTGAAAAAGATAGATAGATAGATGAAAGCAGTTTGAATATAGATGGATGGATGAAAGACAGATTGGAAAGACTGATAGACAGACATATAGATATCTATCTATCCATCTATCTATCTATCTATCTATCTATCTATCTATCTATCTATATATATATATATATATATTTCGGGAAAGTTCCTCGAGCTGGAATTCAAACTCGGGACGCCCGGAGTGCTGCTGCTAGGGGTGTGAACCTACACTGGTCTCACGGTCCGGTTAAGATTATCATGCTACGGTGGCCGGGAAGTGTAAAACAACATTACAAATTGTAAAACACTTTTACAAAGCTCAAGACAAATTTACATTTTGAAAAACATTTTACCTATCATCAGACACAATTACATAGGAAAAACTATTTTACCAAGGACGAAATAAATTAACATTTTTTTAAAAAAAATGAACAAGACGAAAAAACACTTTTACAAGTCCCGAAACTAATTTACAATTACAGATTCCTTATGGAAAGGTAATGTACCACACACTGGAAGTGACACACATATAAATGTGTCTGATGATAGGTAAAAAAAATTTTAAAATGTAAATTTGTCTCGAGCTTTGTATAAGTGTTTCACACTTTGTAATGTAGTTTTGCACTTCCTGGCCACCGTATCATGCCATCGATTCAGTTCAATTCGATATCTTGGTGCATCATGGTTCATTGACGATGCTTTTAATACACAATTAGATTTTTTTTAACACAAATGAAACATATTTTAGTACGAATTTCAGCAAATAAACACCCTTAATGTGTTTGTCTTTATTAAGATTTTCATGTTAAAGTTTACTTTCACCATCTCATATAGGGAAGTTATGTCTCTGCACTATAATAATAAACAGATATGAAATGCTGTACTTCTTATCTCCTTTCAAGAGTTCACACTTAGTTGATGATTGTTTATAAAGCTTGTTTGACTTGCTGTCCCGGGAGAGAGCCCTGAGCTCATAAGATCCTCGAGTCCAGGGTTCACTCCTGTTTGCAAGGCGAGAGGTTAGTTTGAGCTCAGGTAGATCTCGAGAACTCTTCTGCTGTAGATGCTAATGAACAGATAGTGTTTGCTCTTAAGAGATAACTACTTACTAGCAGCATGTCTAAGGTGCTGATTTGGAGTAGTCAATTAACTTAAGTTGCATGTTTTTGGACTGTGGGAGGAAACCGGGCACCTTGGAGAAACCCACGTGAGCTCGGGGACAAGGTGTAAACTCGGCACAGAAACGTTAGCTGGCATGGTAAGGACTAGAACCAGTGACGTTCTTGCTGTGAGGCAACAGTGCTAACCACTGGGCCACCGTGTCTAGGAAAGGAGGAGGAGTAGGGGTGGAAGGGGGTTTCTTCAAAACAAAGATGGCTGTTATATGGAACTTAGAGTGATTATAGAGGCTTAGGAATCGTCTGATTGGTGAATCATAAATTGGATAATGCAGGACCAGCCGCATGCAATCATAAGCACATGATCCTCTCGAAATTAGTTTATAAATAAACTTCACTTATTCAGCCACAATGAGTTCTGAGACTTCTCGAGCGAGTTCTACGATCAAGTCTGCATCAATGGGTCCTTGATATCCAAAACACATCCGGGTTCTTTCACACATCCTCCGTTCTTAAGTTTTTTAGAACTGAACTATGTGGATTGATGATGACTTTATATGAGAACACAATGCATATTGAGAAACAGCCATGGTCTGTTAAAGTAATCATTTAAAAAAAATGTAAAACCTTACTGTCCGCTTTTTTTTTTTTTGTATCCTTCCAGCTGTAGGGAAGCACTTAGTGAACAACAGAACAGAGAACGGAGACGTGGGCTTGTCCAGCGAATGCCCTTCAGACGACAAAACCTCCAAAACAGCAGAGTCTGCAGAGAGCTCATCCTAGACACTGAAAAACCCCCAGAAGAAAACGGCAGACATCAGTAAGAGATGAAGACTGAACATGTATAATATGTAACATATAGGAGATTCTTGGTTTTATTGCATATGGAGAACAGTCTGCTTTTACGTCCACTGGAGATTGAGGAACCACTGAGAAACACTGAGAGAAGAGGACATGATGGCACTCGGTGGATTATTATTATTTTTTGCTAATATTTGTCATCATTTTGGGTTATATAAAGGGACACAAAATGACCATCTGCGTTGGAGAGCGAGTAAATCGAGTTTATGGTATAACAATGTTGGATCCTTCTGTGTATCTTCCATAGATGAGCTCAAACTTTCACACTGTACTGAAGTAGATGGATATAGAATCGAGTTACTGTTTGCTCAGAATGTGTGTGTGTGTGTGTGTGTGTGTGTGTGTGTGTGTGTTTGTGTGTGAACATATGTTTCTAACCTCTTGATCGTGAGTCGATCCTGCTTGTTTGTCTTCTGATCTAAAGCGAAGGCAAACAGGATGATTTTACTTCCTGTTTTGCACACCGGGTGGTCAGTAGGTGACGGGGACAGAAACGAGTGTGTTGTATTAAACGTGCACATCCACATGTGCTTTCATTGGCTTGCTTTCTTTATTCAACAACACACTTTCAGGTTCAATTTAGCTGATTGAGGACGAGTTTTAGGGTGGATCTCAATGAAGTGATGTCTTGGACGTATTTTAAACTGAAGAATGTTATTATATTTACTAAAAATAATTTATGTTATATATATATATATATATATATATATATATATATATATATATATATATATATATATATATATATATATATATATATATATATATATATATATATATATATATAAACCTCCAATTGTATGTGTTTTAGGTATTATTTATTCATTGCAGGAGTCTTGACATGACTAAATTGGTAACACTTGACAATAACAGTACATGAATAATGATGTATTAATATATAAACTAAACATTACTTCATTATTCATAATGCGTGTTAATCGTTGACTTACTTTAACTACAACATGAGTCACATGAGTTCATGTGTGAATAACCGCTACTGTAATTACTTGTTAATGCATGATTGTTTGTTAATTAATGTATTTTTACCACATTAGTTTATGCCTAATTTAACCATCATGAACTATGTCCTGACTTTTCTTGGAGAGGCACATCATGATTAACCCATTCTTAACTACTCATGAACTCATTGTGCACGTCCATCTAGTGTGTTTACACTGAATAACAGTAGAAAAGTGGGTAACACTTTAGTTTAGGTCACAATTCATGCTATCAAGTACTTACTTATTACCTGTTTATTAATAAGTTATTACCTGTTCATTAGTAGTTATAAGGTATGATATTATTTTGCATCCCTAATTTTACCTGAAACCTAAACCCAACTTCCACCTTAATAACTATTATTAAACAGGTAATTATTTATTAAGCTAGTAGTTTTAGTTAATTGTTTGTTGATACTGTGAATTGTGACCTAAACTGTTTCCTAAACTGTTACTGAAAAGTGTTCAGCCAACATCAACATTAACAGTTTAAACACAGGAGTTCATGAGTAGTTAAGGACGAGTTAATGATGATGTGCCCCTACAAGTAAAGTCATGACATAATTATACATAAACAGCTCCTGGGTTCATGTTAGTTACATTTAGCTTAAATGTAAATGTTAATTAATATATTAACAACATGTACTAACGAGTAATTAAGGTAGTCATTATTCACATGAACTCTTGTTGTAGTTAGTTCATGATTAGCACATGCATTAACTTATTTATTTATTATAAGTAATGTTAAGTTTATATAGTAAACATAATTTTTAATGCACTGTTATTTCAAATGTTACTACTAAATTTATATAAAACTTGCTGTGATTTTATAAAAAAAAAATACAATGGAAGCACAAACAATTATATAAAAGGGTAGCACAATTTTTATTTTCAGGATATTTTTATATCTATATTAATTATTAATTATATTAAATATTAATGTAAATTAAATAGAATTTCTGATAATTATAACACACTTAAAATACCTAAAAATTGGTATTTAGCAACTAAATGTATAATAAATGTTTTTATATTTATAATTTAAAAATTCAAATATATATAAATATATTTTTGCTTAATAATGACAATTTTTAGGTGTTTTAAACATGTTTCACCTCAAACTCGCTAGTATTTTATTTTTACAGTTCATTACAAACATTTTTGCATAAAAATAAATGCATATTCCAAATGCCAAGTAAACAAACATAACATTGAGCTACTAACAATAGGAGAAAATAAAGTGTGCTTGCTTCTCATTGAAAATGCCACTGTTTATAAATAAAAACAGCTAATCCTTCAAAAAACTTTATTTCTTGAAATATGACCCAGACATTTTCATAGGGTCCACCCTTGCATATCTGCATACTTATTTCTCAGCCTTTTAACTAAACAATGTCACACCTGTCAACACCTGATAGTGCCATTGAACCTACTGTATTAACTATATATACACTCACTATATTAACTGAATAGCGAAGTGTACTTTAAACACTGCAATGTAGCATAAACTATTTAATCCAAGCCAGTTTACTCTTTACATTCTGCAAAAAATATAAAAGGGTACAGAAATCAAGAACAACTCGCTCCATTCAGTCAGTAGAGTTGGCTATAGTGCCTCAAACCTGTAAATTGTAAGATCATTACTGTTCAGATCACTATTTATTAGTGTTGCTTTCCTATTCCCACCATCCAGTTATTTTTTAACATATCTCAGATATCATCAGAACGGTGTTCATCACATAATCCCAATGTCTGCACAGTGATCACTACTCTGTATTTAAATGTAACATTTTGGCTGCGTAGCAATATAACATTATACACAATTATATTATTATACACAATATAACAAATATAACATATAACAAGGTGAGTTAGCCTGTCTGGAGATTGTATAGACTTTGAAGCCAGTCAATTGGTAACACTTTACAATAATGTTGTATTAGTTGATGCTAGTTAAAGGAATAGTTCACCCAAAAATGAAATTGTCATCAATTACTCACCCTTTACTCATTTCAAACTTGTTTGAGTTTCTTTAGTTGAACACAAAATTAGATATTTTGAAAAATGTTGGAAACCTGTAACCATTGACTTCCATTTGTTTTTCCTACTATGAAAGTCAATGGTTACCGGTTTTTGGATTTCTTTAAAATATCTTTTGTGTTCAATAGGGAAAATGTATAAGTTTGAAGCCATTTGAGGGGAAATAAGGAGTAAATGAAGAGTTCAGATGCAAAAATCCCCTAAATGCCATCTGAAATTTTCTTCTAATATAATTTTTTTTCTAAGACTCCTATGTCTTGATTCAGTAATTTAAATGTTATGGCAAAGAATAGGTTATTTTCACTGCTTTTAAAATGAAATAGCTGGACATACACATAGGAGGCTAAGAAAAATGCTCATTGTAGAAGAAAATTCCAGATGGCATTTAGAGGTTTAGCATCTGAACTCTTCAAATTTTAATGTTTGTGTGAACTATCCCTTTAATGCATTTACTAACATGGACAAACAGTGAACAATACATTGTTTTACAGTATTTATTCATCTTTGTTAATGAAAAAGTTGTTCATGTTAACTCGCAGTGCATCGATGAATTTGCTCTTCAGTGTTTGAACTCTCAGTAATGATTAAATTACACTGACCTGAGCTGAACTGAACTGAACTTAAACACTTAAACCTGAACCACACTGTTCCAGTTACTATGACCATTTATGTGAAGCTGCTTTGACACAATCTACATTGTAAAAGCGCTATACAAATAAAGCTGAATTGAATTGAATTGAACTAATTAATTAGTTTTGGAATATAATAATTAATTATTAAATGTTGAGCTATGATTAATAAACGCTGTAAGTATTGTTTGTTCTTGTTAGCGAACACATTGACTAGCATTAACTCATGCAATCGTTATTGTACTGAAATATTCATAATAAGATATTTGCTTACAATCGCGCTGTTACTTTACTAAATATCCCCCCACTTTACTCATCACAGGTGTTAGTTTAGGCAAGCGAGGACATTCGGACAATCAGACGATATTTTTTCTTATTCGTGTTCTGTGGACTTTTGTTTTCTTGTTACTGATTGGTTAATTTGGGAGATGATGCGTGTCCCCGGGCACCAAATGTTTCCCACACTGTCAGGCACAGCACAGAGGCAATTTTGACTTTTGGAGGAACATTTGTTTCTTTTTTGGGTTTGTGATTTATTTTACTGTTGTTTCGGTGTCATAGGAAATGTACTTCTGAAATACAGGAGATTGGGAAATAAATGTTCCACGTGTAATTAATGTATGACATGAGATGTTTCAATAAACACATTTATTTGCCCAGACTGTGGGTGTGTGTGTGTGTGTGCGTGCGTGCATGCGTGTGTGTGTGTGTGTGTGTTAGGTTTTAAACAAAAATACAACAGGTTTATTTGCATTGTTTCATTTAAACGGTAGGGGGCAGTACAGCTTAATGAAACGAATTCACAGTGTATTTAATATAAAGCATATAGTGTCTTTCTTATTATTCTGAGTAATTACTTGATTACCCAAACAACTGTTTATATTTCAAATTGTTTCTTTAAAAATGTGGTGGATTAAACTTTTTGCTTTCTTGTGACTACAAATGTCATAAACCCCATTAAATTATTAAACTTTCATAAGCAATCATTAGAAGCATGTAAAATTGCCTTTAAACCTAACTTTTTTTTTAAACATAACTTTTCTCCACATACGTGCATTCTACGGAATAACCAACATGTGTTGCATTAAAAACAAAATTATGTTTAAAAAAAGATTGCTTTGACATATAAGATAAAAAACAAGATTTGACATACAAGATAAAAAAATTGCTTTGACAAGGGAATTATTTTTGTTTCAGATTTACTAAATAGCAGTGGTGAGATACTTCTCAGGAAATTCTTTCTTCTTCAGGGATTTTTTTTTTTTTTGTATAATGATTATAATTTGATCGAGAAAAGCTTCTCTAATAAACTGCTTTACTTAATGAAAATGTGTATTATAACTAGGACCAGACAGAATCTGCGGACGTTTTTTGCTGCTTCTGGGCAGAATTTTTGTAACAATCTGTGGAATTATTTTGGGAGAATCATAACTAAAACCTTAATATGTGAAATAAAAATGATATCTTTTATTTAATGTTTAAAATGCAAATCCAATTAGATTCACTATATTTGGTAAACAAAGCAAGTCTCTCATATAAATAGCTACTAAAAGACAGAAAATATTGCTGTACAAACTGTATTGTACATAAATCAGATGAACATTTTCATATTAGTCAATAATATTACTGAAATTAATTTAAAAACTGAATAAATATAGATTTACACACATTTACTCAAGAAAATAAACAGAATTAATGATGGGCTAAAAATCTGCGGAAATCTTCGGAAAAGTGGGCCTACTCATAACTCTTTTTATCTTGTTATATTTAATATCTTGTTTTATCTTAGATAAAAAATGTAATAATTCAAAATAGTAGTTCTTTCCCGAAAAGCCATTTTAAAGTGGAAACAATATTTTCCGTTAACAAGTAA